GAGCCAATGAAGCCTAACAACCCACCCCTCTTTCCACACATAAGCTGCACCCTAGAATTCCAGCTCTTCTCTTGCTCTGTCCTTGATATACTTCCCAAGTATGGCCTGCCTGGCAGCCATCTCTTGTTTGGAGCTCTAAGCAACAAAGACTTCTGCTTTCATCTGTATGAGTGTCATGGTGTTGGGTACCACCATCCTATAAAAGAGCTTAAATGGTAAAGACCAGAGGCTCTTACAAAGCATGTGATTAAGATAACAAAGTTGCCTTCTGTCTGGCACTATGGAAGTGCTGGGGCTGACTTTCTCCAACCACACCCCCTCAATTCCCTCCCCATCATCTCCCTGTACTTGCTGCAAAGGAAAAAGCAACTTCTATTATGTTGGCACCACTGTTTTTATCTTCCATTGTTAATGCCGTAATTACCATTGTTATTACAAGAAAACAACCAACTCACTGCTAAGAGTATAGTATGGAATGAAGAAGCTTCCAGAGAGATAGGGGCAGCCCTGTCCCTGGCACAATTAGAGCCATCCCAATACCCCCGTTGAAGAGAGGAATCTCTGTAGGGGACGCAGGGTTGGCCTGCTTCAAAATGGCCAACTAGCTCAACGGTTAACCGTCCCTGATTATCTTTTGCTCCTTTACACATTTCATACTAATTTTTAATTACATAAGCATTACCTAATAGTCTTCTTTCCAAAAAATAAACAATTAAGTAAATATTAAAATAAAATAAAAATCTTGGAAATAAAAGTCTCTCCCCAACAATTGTATCTGCTCTCACCAACCTTGCAACCTTATTGTCTGTTGTGACTCCTTTCAGGCTTTTTTCTTTTGCATTCACAGTTAGTCCAAGAAAATCGATGGCATTGTCCCCATAATGTCTTAGTATACATTTTGTTCTACAATTTGCTTCTTTAACACAAGAATAATATTCCATAGAGCTCTGCTACGTGGAAATTCAATTTATACTAGTGGTTACACAACATTCCTTAGTGTGACCAAATCACAATTTATTTATTCATTCCATTATTTAGGTTGTATACAATTTTCTGCCATTAAACAAATTATCTATGGTGAACATTTGTGGATTTGCTGGCCTGAGGACGCTTCAGGTACTTTCTAGGTGTAATTCCATTTAATCCCCTCAACAGGTGTAGGAAGTAAGTACTAATATAATTTTCGTGTGGATGAAATGGATGAAATGTCCAGGCAAATGTGCCAGGATTTCTTTAGGGATAATAATGAATCGTGTAATTGCAGGGTCATTTTACACCCCTCAAAAGTGCTATATAGTTTAAGGGTATCTAGGATTTGTTTTAATCAGGTGTGATAAGACAAGTAGACATGGAAATGATGGTCATAAAGGAAGCAGTTTTTCATACTCTCTGCTCCCTAGAAACAGAAGGCACAGTGCACCATGCAGGGCCCACTGGACGGCGCCAGAGCTGGTCAGAAGCACAGAGGGTGGGGGGGGTGGGCGGATGGGGAACTCAGGCAAGAGGAGCCCATATTGTGGTTTTTGTGGGAAGGAACAAATGAATTAGGGTGTTGGTTTAGAATAAGCCAATTTGAATTATTTCACTGGGCTGATATTTAGGGCCAAGAGTTGAGAAGGATTGTGAAGCAGTGTGCCATGGAAGCTGGCGCTCTGGGCCTCAGGGCACTGGAGTTGAGAAGGAGGAAGAGAAGGTGACAGGGCAGAGTGGTGGACTGTGAGTAATACATCCTTCAGGCGCTGCCTGTTCAAGTCTCATTGTGTCCCTTCTATGCCCACAAACCTCCACTGGTCATTCTTACTCTAAGTAAAAACCAGATCACTGCCAAGGCCTCTAAGGTTCCTGGCCAGGTAACCTCTCCAGTCTCAGACTCCTCTCCCAGGTTCTCCCCATTACTCACTCGTTTGCCTCACTGATATCCTTCCTGTTTCCTGTTATAATAGGCATGCTTCTGTCTCAGGGTCTTTTCTGCTTTCCCCTCTGCCTGGGAATGCTTTCTTAGAAAACTGCATCATTCACTCCCTGACTATTAGGATTTTATTTAAATGTCACCTTCCAGAACTTCTCTGTCCACTTTATTGAAAATCTCAACCTATGTATTTCACAGAGTATGTAATATATTCCTAGTTTCTCCTGACCCCTCCATTCTATTCTCTTCTGCTTTCTGACCACCTGGTGTCAATAAAGACTACATTTCCCAGTTTCCCTTGCAGCTAGGTATGGCCATGTGACTAGGTTCTTACCAGTGATACATGAGAGAACTAATTTGTATAATAACTTCTGCTTCACTTGACAGAAAGGAAACTGTTTGCCTTAGGTTTCCCCTCAGATTGGACTCCAGACATGCCAGTGATCTCCAGCTTCAAAATACACACATACACACACACACACACACACACACACACACACACTTCAGGAGAGATGACTTGCTGATAGCTTGATCTCAGACTTCAGTCTCCAAAACCAAAAAAAGAAATTTCTCTTAAGTCACCCAGCCCATTATCACAACTGTAGCAAATTGATACATGAGATAATTTTAAAAAACTAACAAAATGGTGTCCTAGAGCTGCCCTTCAAATATTGTGTCCTTAAGTTTCATTAATAGAAACACAGTATTTAAAATATAGGCAGTTCCAGTCCGGTGGTGCACTGGTCAGAACCCATGAAATAGAAAAGTAGAATCCTTTCTGGAAATAAACTTTTGATTATTATGAGTGGGTGGCCATTGAGAAATTGAAACTAATCTAGGGAAAGACTATAAGATTGGTGAGGAGTCTAGGAATTGTCACACTGAAGGAAGTAGCTAAGTTTAACCCGGGGAAAGGAAGATTCAAGGAGACATAAAGCCATTTCCAAAAGGATGAAGTGCTGTCTCAAGGAAGAGAAATTCGATTTAGCTGTGTGGGCCCAGAGGGGAGAGCCAGATCCAATAGGTAAAAGTTTCAGGGAGGCAGATTTCAGTTCAATATAAGGAAGCTTTTCTAAGAGAGCTGTCTGCAAACATAACAGGCTTCCTCAAGAGGTATTTGATGAGGCTGAATGACCACTTATTAGAAATGTGAGAGAAGAGACTCAAGGTTAAATTGGGTGTTTGGATCAGGTAAACTTGGCTGTTCCTTCCAATCCTGATATTTTCTGTATAAATGGATTGAACTCTAGCTGAGGAACAGATTTTAATAGTACTTCAATATCTCTTTTATTTGTAAAAACATGTGCATGGTTGATAAATATTTTTGTGCTTTGTTGACTTGATGGCTATTAGAAGAACTTTAGAAAATTTACTGAGGAAAAGAAAAACAAGAGGTCAGTCATAGGACTAGACAGAACTTTGGAAATGTGAAGGACAGGTCAACTAAGAAGGGGGCCCCAAAGTATAAGCTTTAGCAAGAACCAACTTGTGTGAAATCTCAAAATCTTAAACTTACTCTGTGCAAAACTGCCATCTCTATTTTGCCAAGCAAAAATCAATCAGTCACCCAATAAAAATACTGATCTACTAAGTTAATCTACCCTTAAAGAATTTGTTAAAATGACTCCCAGTTAGTTGACACAGTAAAAGCTGTAATTTCCCGACGACCATCAATTTGTGAGATTTTAGGAAACTGATAGAAGCAAGTGATGATTTGGGGGCGACATCAGAAACATGGTTTTCATAGCCACAAATTGCTACAGAATAATGGGGTGCCGATGGCTCTAAAGTGCTGCCTAAAGGCACCATCTCTTTAGCTCACACCCCTCAACTACGGTGGCTGGAAACTTGGGCCTGGAAACGAGGTAGCCTGGAGAGAAGGCCAGTCTTGGGCAGGGACAGCAGGCCAAGCAGAGTGAACAGGGGCGCCAGCCTGGAAGAGGCGAACTCTGTCCCATGGAGGCTGGGAGAGCATGCGGCCCCTGACTGGCGGCTGCAGAAGCCTCCCCTCTCCTCTGCCGCGGCCGCGACACCTCTCCGGGGGAGGAAGTGGGGTGGCTGCTGGGAAGGGCCGGAGCCAGTCCAAGACCAACTAAGAGTCCTCAACAGCAGCTCGCAGAAGGGCGAACACCCAGGGCGCATGGGAAGGGAAGTGTGTTTCGTAGGCACCCCAGGTTGTCTTTCGGGCTTCGGGGGGATGAGCAGCGCCTCGGCGGGGTGCAGGTGGGGTGGGGAGTGCGGAAGGAACTTGGGAGTATAAGAGACTTCAGCGACTGGCCCTCCTCCTCCCCTTCGCCCCCGCGCCGGGACGACCCGGTCAGTGGAGAGGGCCCGCCGGGCGCGCACTTTGGCCCCACGGCTGGGCGCCGCCGCCCTCGAGCCGCCGAGAGCCCCGCGCTCTCCCGCGCACGCGGCGCAGCGCCCGGGGGCGGCGCGGGACGGGCGGAGGCCGCGGCGGGTCCCGGGCTCGCGCGCCACCGCAGCGGGGCCGCCGTCCGGCGCCCGGGACCCGCGACCCGGCGCGCGTGGTGCGCCTCGCGCCCCGGCAGGTGCAGGCGCGCGGACTTCCCATTGGTCGCGGCGGCGGCGGCGGGCGCCTGCCCCTCCTCCTCCCCTCCCCTCCCCCTCCCCGCCAGGCCCCCCCTCGACCGCGGCGCCGGCTCGGTCGGCGGAAGCGCGTGCCCGCGCGCCCCCGCCCTGCCGCCCCCCTCTTTCCGCGCCGCCGCCGCGCGCGCCCGCGAACGCAGGTAGCGGGGGCGCGGGCGCCGCTCGGGGGCGCGCGGGCCGAGCTGCCGTCCTCCGCCGCCCCCCGCACCGTCCGCTCCCGGGCCCGGGGAGGGAGAGCGCGCGCGGGGAGCGGGGCTGGCGCCGCCGCCGCGAGGCTTCCGTGTCGCCGGCTCGCGCAGCGGCGGCGGCAGAGGCCGCGCACAGATGCGGGCGAGGCCGGCGGGGGAGCAGGCGGAGGCGGGAGGCAGCTGCCCGCAGGAGACCCGCAGGTAAGACCGCGAGCCCCGGGAGGGGCTCTCCATGCCGGGGGGGGGGGGGCGCGCGCAGGCCGGGGCCGGGAGGTGGAGCTCGGCTCTGCTCGCCAGGGGGGGAATTTTTTGACAGCGCAGAGAGATCTCATCGGGGACTGGGCAGTAGGACCCATCCGATCCGGGGAAAGACAGAGAAGTAGCTGGGGGATCGGTGTCACATTGTGGGGTTCCTGAGAGTGACATGGACAGGCCCAGGGAAAAGTGCGCTCATCGGCCTGGCGAAGCTGAAGGCTTGGACTTTCCCGTGATGGCAGCAGCCCCGGATCCGGGCGCGGGCGCAGAGCCGCGGTGCGCTAACCCCCCCCCCCCCCCCCGCTCCCCCCCCCCCACGCGCCCGCGCAGCACCCCGGGCGGCTGCCGCTCCGCGCCCGCGGGTAGGGGCGAGCGGGGGGCGGTCCGGGGAGGGGGCGGGGGCCGGAATGGAGACGGAGCGGGGGAAACCGAGGTTCCCGGTCCCGGGGCGAGGGAGGGGAGCGTGGCCCCCCAGCCCCCTGGCAGCCCGGGGTATTGTCGTGCTCCCTCCTGGTTGCAGACTCTGGCAAGCCGGATGCCCTCTGTGGATGAAAGATGTATCATGGAATGAACCCGAGCAATGGAGATGGATTTTTAGAGCAGCAACAGCAGCAGCAGCCTCAGTCCCCCCAGAGACTCTTGGCGGTGATCCTGTGGTTTCAGCTGGCGCTGTGCTTTGGCCCTGCACAGCTCACGGGCGGTGAGTGACCCCGCTGTGGCCGGGGTGGGGGGGGGGGATCCGGGAAGGCCGGGCGGGCCAGCCTGGCTGGTAGGCGAGCCCTGCCACTCCCCCCATACAGTCAGACTTCCGCGCTGCTAAAACTACCTTTCCTCAACACCCCTGGAGTTCCCAGAAAATTCCTCTGTGGAACCCGCACACATTCACACACCCACGTTCTGTCTGGAGCTTCCCACCAGCCTCCCAGCCTGGCTTCCCGAAAGGAAAGACAATAAAGCCTTGTCCATTATTCTCACTCTGGCCAAGAGTGATTTTTTTTTTTTAAAGTGTTGTATTTGTGATTAAGGTGTGTTTGTGGACCTTTGACCCTTGTCTGTGCCCTCAGCAGAGGGGTCTGGTTTCGGCCTCTGAATGTAGGCAAGAATTGTGAATAGGTAGGATCTGAAAATAGCACCAAACAGGCAGGTTTATCTGAAAGTTAACTTTGTTAGGGAAGCGGTGTGTGCAGGCATGTCTGTGCGTGTGGGGGCGGGGACGCGATTCAGAGGTTTTCCTTCAGGGGTGTTTTGGAGGATGGCTTGACTTATGAGATCTGGTTTTTAGGGGGAATAAAGTCAAGTACTTTTCTATGACGCAGAAGTTAGCTGAACTAAAATGGACAGCCTCAGTCTTCACAGGCTATCTATAACATATTTACCGGGGGCGGGGGGGGGGGGTCCCATCTTTTGCTTTTGGTAGAGGAAGACAGATGGATCCTGCCTGAATTGCCCAACCTGAAAGTCTGTCTTCTCTGTTCATTGCTGTCCATTTCCAATTTTCTGTGAACACTTGCAGATGTGGGCATATTACAAGGACAGAGTCCTGTTTTCAGAGCTCAAATACTTTAAACATATAAATGAATGATAACTGGTGGAAAAACAGGTACCAATGGTTACAAATACACCATCTAGTGTTTTTAAATGTTGCTGTTTCAGAGAATTTGAGGCTAAGATAGAAAAAAAGGGAGGGAAAATCAGCACAAGTGAGGGAGGGGAATAACAAGTTGGTCTTTCATACAGTATTATGCTAACTCAGGTCTTGCATTTAGAGCTCTGGAAAATACTTGGTATATAAAAGCACTTTCTGTGATGTGCATGTCTGTTAGAATTAGTAAACAGGTGGGTATCTGTGATTTTGTTTGTTTTTTTAAAGAGGGATAACTTTTTTGGTCCTCTTATTTTTATAAGAAATAAGAAACATTTCAAAGATGTCTCAGTGGCGTTTCCTCTTCAAAAACGACAAGGTCAAAAGGGATGCCAGGCCAGCACCAGCGCGGCCTCTCTGTGCCCCGGTGGCAGCCTCTGTCTGGCCCTGGCCTCTATCTGCTTCCTGGGGAGTGGAAATAATGGACGGCAACACGGAGCAGGGCTGGCTCCCATCCTTTCCTCTTTCTTCTCTTACCTCCAGATCTAGCTCTCATTCCCTCAGACCAGGTCCATGTGATTTTCCATCCTCTCTGTGGCTCTCTTCCCTGTGGATGACAGATTAATCGGATTCATCTGCGTATGTCTTGACTGTTGTTATTGGCAGTGTGCGGTCTTGGCACAGCCCAGATTTGAAGGCTGTGTACACTTGGTTCTGCCGTGGTGTTTACAGAGCATCCTCCTCAAAGATGTCAGAGCTCAGTGCACAGCACAGCCCCCTCGGTGTCACATTAGTCAGCCTTGCAGTTGTACAGCGTTTCTTCGTTCCTCTCTTTCAAGAGGAGAAGACACCAAATAAAAAGATCCGGAGCCTTCAAGAAGAGGGTGAGGGTGAGGGTTTCCTGTTTCTGCTTGGTTTCAGAGCTGCTTCTAGGCATCAGATGCTGCAAAAGGCTCAACATCAGCTTGTTTCCTCTTTGCCTCCTTTGGGTTGAGAGTGATTTCTGGAAGAATGTTTACCATCTCAGAATTCTCCTGTGGAGAAACAGTTTGGGTGGAGCAGAGTGGAGGGGGATGTTCTATGGAGTTCACTCTACAGAAATTTCTTTCTTAGGAAAGAAACATACACAGAGGCTCCAGGATGGTTATGAAATTCACCTTAATTCTAGACCTATGTTTCTAAAACTTTAATGTACCTACAAATCACCTGGGGTCTCTCTACAAGGCAGATTCTGTTCATTTGGTCTGAGGCAAGGCATCACCATCTGCATTTCCCACAAGTTCCCCAATGAAGCAGTTGCTGCTGTTGCTAGGACCACACTTTGATGAGTAATGCTTTGGACTGAGGCATTCCTTAAAATAAGTTGGTTCTGACTCCTGACTCTCTGTTATCACTCTCAATTACCATATGCAAATGGACCATGAGAGAGCAGAAGGCTGACCCACTGTAGGTGACACATAGAGCAGAAAATCAGCTCTCAGATAGCACTTCCCTGCCTTTTTATCCACAAAAAGGAGCATATTTAATAGACATTGTCCTGAAATGAGAATTTTCATTTTTGATTGCTTTCAATGGAAATGGAGCACCACGAGAGCAGGATAGAATAGTCTCAGCTAGGAGAAAAAAGAGTATGCCCAATACAGGTATTACTGAAAAAGCTTGAACTTGAAAGGGAGAAAATGATCATCAAAGAAATGAAGAAAAGGGGGGCATGAACTCCATCAACAACAAAATGTTTTGTCCCAGAAAGCCAGGCATTCAGGTCAGTTCTTGGAGCCTTAGAGAGCTTTCATGGGCCTGAGTGTGCTACGGTGACTTTTAGGTGTCTCTTGCCATGTTGTCTTTTCTAAGTTAGGGGGAAAGGTCCTCATTTGGGGCTACTGAGACCAAATATCCTGAGTGGACTAGCACCAGGTGTATAGGGAGGCCCAGGACCCCACTGTTCCCAGAATTTGCATGGAGCACAACTTCAGCTGCTCCTCTGCTCCATCCCACTCCCCAGAAGGCTCCTGGAGAGGTCCCTGGAAGCTTAGAGGAAGAGACCTAAGACTTTGTAAGTGGGTCCTTGAAGGTGAAGTCATTAGCACATCCTGTGTTATTGGACCACATGCTTAGCTCTTGGTAGCTTTGGGGCCTTAGGTCTTAAAAAATCTTAGTTTCCTTCTCCATAAATAAGGTTGATGTCACCTTACTGGGTCGGTGTGAGAGATGTCAAACAAGAAAGCACTCAGCAAACATAGGTTTTTAGTAGTGAGAGGGGCCAAGTCAAATGCCATAATATTCCAGGTCTTTTTCTTTTTCGTTCAGTGACTACTGAGTGCCTGTACCTAGCCTGCATAATGTTATTTTTTCCTAGAAGAACCCTTCCTTACTCTCTGTCTTTTAACCAATCAACAAATTTTTTTTTTAAGGCTTAACTTAAAATGACATGATGTCTTTCATATTTCCCCTGTCTCTTATCACTCCCCTGGTGTGGAGTCCACCTGGTGCCCTAGTCCTGTCTCATCTGCTAAGCCTTGAGCCCACTGCAGGCAAGAACCTTGACTTTATTTTCATGTCCCACAGAACCTGACACCCAGTGGATGTTCAGCTAGTGTTGGTTGATGGCAAGTTACTGCCACACCATTTAGAAAATAATTACCACTGGTGAGTTACCAAAGTGCAAGGGTTTTATGGCAGTGGAGGCCATATCCATTGGAAGTGGTCTTGGAGGTTGGAGGAGAAATCAGGAAACATCCTAAGAAGAGTGACATTAAAGCTGGGATCTGAGGTGGGGAGTGGTTAGAGCACTTCAGAGGGCGAGACGCCTGTGCAGAGGCATGAAGGTGATTCATGGTTGAATTGTTCAGGGAGCAGAGCACAGCTAAGTTAATCTAGAACATAGTATACCTAGAGGGAAGCAGCAGGGCAGCAGGGTAAATACTGAAACCCTAATACACGGGCCCTTGGACATCCCAGTGAGGATTCTGAAAGTCACCCAGCAGGTGGTGTGGAATCTACTAAAAGGGTTTAGAGTGGGAACAGGATAAGGTCTGAGCTGTGTGACTTGCGATTTTTCCCTTTGGATTGTAAATGGGAGACCAGGTATTTCCTATCACCCTTCTATTGACATCATTGTTTTGTTGATGGGAAGTGCCATTTGTTTATAAGCATGACACAGTGGATATTTTAATTTCTTGAGGCAAAGCACTGGAGAGGCAGAGGGTCCCATAAATAGTACACAGGACACATTTTTTTTTTGCTACCATCATCATCTGGCTAAGTGAGAGTAACCTACTTGCTCTCTCAGTTTCATTATTTGTGAAATGGGGACAAAATTTGGGTCATCTGCCTCCCATGGTTGTGGTGAGAGTCAGGTGCCTTAACAGAAGGAAGTATCATTACTCTTAGAGATAACATCATCACTAACAAGTTGTGAGTGGCTGGTTATATCCATGGTGTTGGGATTCAACCTGCAAAGACCTTCCTTTGTTCTGAAACCTAACAGATGTATCATCCTACAAGGGCACAGGCCAGAGCAGATGTGTGCTGTGGAAATCACTAGTTATTTGCTGATCCTTGTTCCTAGGAGTCCCAGAGAACTCAATGTCACAGTGTGGTATGACGGGTCCTGCAGTGGAGATTTATCCCCGGGACTCTGAGGAAGGGTGAGGAGCAGAGGAAGACTAACCAAAGAAGATGACATGAGCAAAGTCTTGATCAATTAAAGAAATTTCCAGGAAGAGGTGTTGAGAGGTGCTCCCCACCCTTCCACCCCCCGAGAGAGGATAGCGTACACAGACACTCAGGATGAGAAAGAATATGAACTGAAGACAAGAAATAGCTCAAGGCAGTCTTAAGGAAGGACAGAGAGAGAGAGAAGACAAGAAGAGGCGGGAAAGGCAGATTGGATCCACATGCCCAGCTGGCTACAATGCTTAGGAATTTGAACATTATGTTGTAGTCAGCCTCAAAGATACACAAAATATATACAAAATATACAAGATATACAAAATATATCTTCAGGAGCATGGCATGATCTGTTCTTTGATTCAGAGAAGAATTTTTTTCGCAATATGGAAGTCAGAGGAGAGATTGGGCTTTATTCGGGATTTATTGTATATCTACCAGAGACTAGG